AACTTTACTATTTATTACACGGATCATTGCTTCTTTCAGCTCAATCCAGGTGGCTCTTGAGTTAAGCTGCGTAAATCAGGCTGCTGATCAGAAGGAACAGTGCATTGATTCCGAGTTGCGATACTGACTGTGCCAGCCAGGCAATCGAAGTAGTGATATACAAGATATTTATATCGTTATAGTGCTTAGGGCTTATCGCTGGACAGTGACAGATGTAGTGCTCCACAGACCCTTTCTCCTTTTCGGGTGCACAGCTTTGGCTACTCCGATCGTGGAGTCCCATTGAACAGTGCACAGTTGGTATACCAGTTGTTGTATTTATAATGAACCTGGCTAAGAGGATTAGATTTCTTAATTTTTTAGTTTCTAGTCACGTTACAAGTTCTTTCGTTAAGCCATCTGGTGTTGATTTTTTCGGTGAAAGCCAGATTCAGCATGAGTTTTTCCATATATAGAACTTTAGAAGCGTCGAATTTATTACAGCTCTCCCGCCACAGACTTCCCTGGGATGTCTACATGTCCGGGTACACAGACCACGGCTGTTTTGCATTTAACCGAGAGCTTATTTAAAGTACTTCTACAATTTAACGCCATACCTAATTTGGTATACTTACAATACATTGAAAAGATCTGATGGTTGCTTTGTTATGCCAGGTGACGTTTACACCGTTAAAAATCCTTCGATTGTGTACTGGATGAAAGAGAGCCACTGGGTGGAGAGATAGGTCATTCAACTTTTTCAAGGAAGGTCTAGAGAAAAACTTGCTGTGGAGTCTACTTTCAGGAACCAAACATCAGCACACGGAATATGATATCTATGAGATAACTCCGATATTAAACCGCCCTCAATTTGAGAGAATTATTTTAATCCCTTTCTATAACGTCGGGTTACAACATAATATAACTTATATAAGTCAGAGTCACAGTAGTAGTGTATGAAGTATGACCATCGCAATGCTACTGTCGGATAGAAAGAGTGATACCTTAGAGTTCTCCAATCCCAACGGTGGTCAATTTATATTGCCAAGGCGAGAGATTACCCTGCCGGGAAATTTCTCTCGTCATATGCGCTCGTGTTTTGTGTCTTAAGCCAACTCTCATTAAATAAAATATTGTCCAAGTCGTGTTCTACAATTGCAGGCCAAAACGAGTCGGCTATCAAACGCTCATAGCACACCGTATTGCCAATGACTGTCCCGCTCTTGTCGTATTCAAAGAACTAAAATCCAATCACTCCCACACACTGCGAGCACTCCAAATATTTGAGGATTCACGGAGCTCCAAAGGTGACAATTTTGCTTATTTACGTCGCGACTCTAGTAAGAAATGTTTCTCGTCGGTGAAGAAAAATTAATTGAAAAAATCGCCGTCGCTGGTTGTTCAAGCACCGACATCGACGTACGTATAGCGTTGTGAATAGTCAGCTGGCTTCAGGTGTTGTGTGAGCTGGACTGTATATGGAAGTAGGCGTAAGTTACAGGAGAGAACAAATCATAATGTGCCGTAAGCGAGTGTCTGCTCTTGAAAATGTCAAGAAAGAGACACCTTCGGCTCTTCAGCTAGACTTTCACTTGCAGTAGCGCTATTTGAGTTGGAGCGAACGAAATGATGTTGTACAGGTCTTATAATATCTGCAGGCGATCCAGTATCTTCAAAATTCTTTAAAATGTTACCAACTGCTTGAGCAGTAGGATGGTTATGAACCCCATAATGGGCTCTCAAAGCATGGAACGTGACCACATTTGAATTACCATTTCTGTAGTAGGTTTCAACAATTTTAAAGCGGTGTGCGGTTGTTAAGCGATCTGTTTTAGTAAATGCCAGACTTTTAACTAAAACAATACATGTTCGGTTCGATAGTCAAGTTTGGCAGACGTCAGAGGACAGCCCCGTACTTTTGAAACCACGAAATGGATAGCCCTGACAGTAGCATTAAGGCAGATTGTAGATTCTTGACATGCACTAAATGTCGAGGTACGCTCTCAACTAATTTGTCTTATGTCGAATTTTTTTTTGGAACAACCAACTCAACTTAACCTATCTTAACCTGATTACCTTAGAACAGCCATTTGCAATTAACTTACCTACAAAAGAGCAACCCCTAAAGCCTCAAATCGCATACATAAAGAACACAACAAAGAGCACTAAGAACTCTACGCGTGGGTACGAAAAACTGTCAAAAAGTTTTCAAACGACATAAATTTATTTTAATTGCTGCTGCAGGAAATTGTTTGTCATTATTTTTCAACTGCCAACGGATTATGACTGCCGTTATAGTCCGAGTTATTGTCGTAAGCGCAAACAATTCATAATTCGCTACCAAATATGCACCGTTAAACTCTAAACATTCATAGTGTGGAAGAGAAAGGAGCAGCAGAATACAGTCATTTCAAAGGCACTGTATGTCTAACAACGCCTACTGCTTACTCCATTATACCACATTTGCCATTTTAACGCTGCTATTTGTTTATGCCAAGCGAATTGAATGGTAGAGAATGCAAAGTAGACAAATATATTTATAACCATACTGATTGTAGCTACAACTACAACACCAACACCAACAACAATACACAGCAACTTCAGCAATTGGCAATGGCTTTATCCATGGTGAATTCTTCAAGCATAAAACCCTTTAACAACCATCCTACTCAGCAAATAACGGTAGCTTTGGCTGTTTGTCTTACTGTCTGCTGCGTGTTGGGCGCTTAATTAACAGCAGCCGGCGAAATTGTTGCAGACGAGTTGTGGTGTTGCCGCCTGCCGTCGGTGGTTGAGGCTCGCAAGAGCCACAAGTACTCGCTATGCTGCTAATTTTGCTTCTTCAGTGACTGCTTGAGACATTGTGGCTAACTCGGGAGTCGTGCTTGAGTGTCTCGCAGTCGGCTGAAGTGTGGAGAAGTGTAGAGTAGAAGAGCCTCAGTGGCTAAAGTGCTTCCACGGCATATTGTAGCTATAAAGTCATTGAAATTTCATACACTCTGCCTGTTTGTTTTTTTTTTTTTTTTTTGCCGCCATACACTTTTAGCTTATTGTCTTCTTCTTCTTGTGTTCGTTTTTGTTTTCATACGCTTGTTTTATCTAGAACAAAGTAATCGTGCCACCACAGGCATCGCATGGCATGTCGAGGGAATCACGTTTTTTGTGCAAACTTTTAGTTTAGCAAAGCTAACAAGAGGGGTAATAAAGAGATGCAGTGCATTAGGGTGCGACAGTTGATATAAATAAAATTTTAAATGTAAAAAAATTTTTTTTTTTTTTTCTTCCTCATAAAATTTCTACACCAATTTGAATGAGAGCCAAAAAGTCAATAAATTTACTCTAGCACAAGGTCATGGCGATTGAGGCCTTAAATCTGATTCTAGATATTTTACTATTAGATTTAATGGATTTTCGTACGACTAGTCGCTCTTCGCCTAAGGGACCTAGACCAATGAAATAATCAACGATTTTGATACTCAATAATGCTGGCAAGATAATTTTAATTTCCCTTCAAGTAGCACAGGACGGCGGTATTAGATGGAACGATGAATTCTACGAGTGATACGGTGACATTGAAGAAAGCTTGCCAGCTTGAAAAGTATTCGATGCCGCGGGTACTGCGGTTGGAAGAAGGAGAAGAGGAAGACCTCCCTTGAAAGGGTCAGGTGGAGCGCGACCTGTCGATTGAACTATTATATAAGGACGTAAGCGGTGTCTACGCCAAATGAAGTACAAACCGCAGCTGCTCAACTTTTGCTAGCAACAATTATATAACGGATATCTTTTAAAGAGAAGAAAGGAGCAATATCTTCGCTACACCAATCGACTGTACTGAGATTTATACTGAAGCATCGAAACTTGTTGATTTCGATCTCCCTTTACACGTCCATTGCAGTGTATTTTTGGTTGAAATTTCAGGCATTATGGAGGCAGCAAACTATATTGGAACTGAACACACGAGCTTATCTTTATTTTCAGCGATAGTCAGGCAATGATTAAGTCGCTTGGTTCACTGGCTTAACAGCTGTAAAGGATGGTGCTATTTTGTACCAACATTTATTTTGCTTCTTTGGATACTCTGAAGGTTATATTTGAATTTCACCATGATTTTAAATGATTTATCATATTTTTAGCCAAGAATCAGGAAAAAAGAAACATTCGGTTCATTCGAAATAATTTATGTCATGTTAGCAAGATTATCTCTCATTTGGGTTACTGGTCATATGGTCGTAGAGGAAAATTGTAAGGCAGACAAATTTGCCGAGCAATGCAAGACCTTTTTAAGGGGTTTTATCAACTTGCAAGGCAAAATAAATGCTTTTCGTAATTATTATTATTTTTTTTTTTTGAGAGGCATTTTATTCTATAGACCAATATAAAATAAACGTTTCATTTTAAAAAATATTGGATCCTCTTGTTCCTATAGCCGATCTCCAGAAGTGCCTCCAAAAAATGGTGTTTGACGGTGAGGAAGATATTTCTGCTTCAAATTATCTGAAACCCGTAAACCAAAAAAAATTTGGTACTATAATGGATGAATACAGGGCTATTGAAAATTTCGATTTATGAAAAAACGACGGCTTCAAAAAAATAAATATAATTTTTTGTGAGAAATTTTACACTTCAAAGTGCCTTAAAACATCGAAATTATTGTCAAAAATGGATTTTTTTAAAATTACAAGTCGATATAACCCTTTAAGACCGGGTATGCACCCTGGTACCACAATGAACCTACGCTGCCTAACACATTGATAGCCACTTCAACATAAGCTAAGCTGCATAATATATAGAAAATATATCTCAATATAAAATAAAACCGCGCCATTACATTTTCATTTTATTGCAAGTTCGACAGTGCGTATACGTAACCAAATTTTGGTATAAACCTCAAGTTAATTTTAAAAACTAATTTTGCCAAGAAAATCTGTTTAGCCGTCAAAAAGTGTTAAATATAAAAGAATATATAGATATTTCTGGTCCATTTTTTTACTTATACTACTAAAAATTTTGCATGCAAAATGTGAATAATTTCTTCTTTTACATTTAAATAGATTTCTTTAGCATCTAACATACACCTTAATGCGTGCATAAAGCCAACCCACGTTTAAAACACATAAAAGAACACGTCAAATAAAACACAATATAATTTTCACGCCACGTCAAGTCGTATAGTATGCGCATGTACAACCGCAACATCCTTTCATTACGATTATTTGCCTAACTTATAACCCATACATATATAAACGGCTAACTATTGCCTTAACGCCTCACTGCTTTTGTTTAGAAAATTTGTTGGCCATCTTTACTTCATGCTTTACAAGAATTCACACTACACACACTTTGCTTATCCGCTTGTGAGTTTAGCGCTCATGGTGTAATCACGAAATCTTCGCCGCCTCTTTAACCGCACTATGCAATTACCATTCGCTGTTATCACTCTCCTGGGAGTTTACGCGCTTGATTATATTATTGCTTTAATTTTATTTTATTTTTTTTTATCTTTTTGTTTAATGCTGAAGTTAATAATACAAAGCCGTGCGAAGGCGTTAACTGGTCTGATGAAGCGCGTAATTGCATGAAATTACGGCGTACTGCTTAAGGTATTTGAATTTGTATGTATGTATTTATGTTTTTTTTTTTGTATTTCCTTTAACAGATTCGTCTTAATCAATTTGATATTTTAATGTTAATTTTTGCTGACGGGTAAACTTTCTCATAAAATTCAGAGCTCAGTTTTGAAAATCACTGCAAATTACAAATATTTTTATGAGAAAATGTTTAAGAAGCGGAAACTTAGTAAATACTGAATATAAAACTATAAAATATTTTACATCTACTTCTAAACTAAATATCCTATTCTATCAAATTATAAACCAAAGTCTACCCTTTGTTCCAGAGAATGTGAAAATACCATTCGTTTTTCTTTGAAGATGAGAGGTAGGTAGATGAAAGTGCTGTTTGAAGACTCACCCAGGCCTTTTAGAGCCCTAATGCGATATCACTGGCACTAAAACATCCTGCAAACTACCACGTCCTCTCTGAACCTCCTTATTATCTTGATAAAGTCAACTACTTCAACCACATACGTATGTGGAACTTTTCAGATATTGTCAAACTTTATCTATACAAATCTTTGTACCGTCAAATATAGGATAAGGGAGATGAAGAGCGTTTCTTCTTCTACTTTCTGGTAGCTTTTACCATAATAATTGTTGCGCTTCCCTTGTTTACTGCCCAAAAAGCAGTGAGCTGTTAGAGATTTTATCTCAATCCTTTAAAATTTTAATAGACGTTACTTTTTTGGTTGAGCAAATAAGGAATTGCTACAATCCAGACTCAGCTAATAAGTTTTTCAATTAATTACTTAGAACTAGTCAGTGGCATATTTACTCCTTCTTAATCAGCAAAGCTCCTCCTCCAATTTGTGGTACGCATCTTAATGAATTTCCAACAAACGGAGGGATCTACGGCTTGTGCTAAGTCACCTCCGAACGGCTGATGGTTTTTTTACGAGGAGCCTTTATTTCATGCCAGAAATACACTGGAAGGGGTTGAAATTCCCTACCAAGGGGCGACCGCAATTAGAAAATTAAATTTAATATTTTTATTCAAATTAATTTTCTTTAAGTTCTTGGATGTTCGGACGACACCAGGACTTGAACTTCAGCAACTTTTTGAGAGTAGATCTACAAGAAAGAGATCTACCCTAGCTGCTGTACTTAGCTTCCCTATTGAGCGGTACAGTTCTCTGACATTACGAGGAAATAAATGTACATGACGCTTAAGAACTCTTCAACATATCTTGTTCAACTCTAATCTCGTTACTGAGGGTACCCATTGTTATGCAAAGACTTGGCTGTCTCAATGTTGTTACAAAAAGGTTTCAAGATAAGATATCTTCTTTGTGTTATTTCTATTTTTCTAATACGATTTCAGAAAATTTTAATATCTTTTCCAGTCTTCTTCTACTTGGTTTAATCTTGTGAGGTTAAATCGTTTCCTGCAATCTCCTTTTAATTTAGAGGGCCACAATGGAGGCCTAAATCCTACACTAATACAAGTTGTCGACAAAACACCATAAGCCCTATAATGGTGAACGGTGGAATCGTGAGAATACGGTTTTTTATTTCTTATTGCGTACTGCAGTTCTGAAGGCTTCGAGTTCTGGTTCGACTAACATTCCAAATTTATTTTTCTAATTGCGGTTACCAAATTTTTGTTTATGAAAAAGTATAAAAAATTGTGCTACTTTTAAATTAATCTGCAATATGGATTGGAAATATAAAATCATTAAAACGAAAATCGTTTTAAAATTAAATAAAAAATATTTTTTTGTTTTTAAATAAAATATTTTTCAAAGTTGCATAAGAAATAAAATTATTAAAGACTCTTTTTTTATCGAATATCGACTAAATAAAAGAAATCCTTGATCCTTGCGCGGAAATCTCGGAGCCTTTAGAGGAGTGGAGCTAACCATCAAGGAATAATTTAGAACGGAAAATGCCTAAGTGCTCCTGGGGCCCACAACATATTCTCTTGTATTGCTGTTAGACAGCAATAGTCAAGCCAATCTTACTCTATCATTTGGTGTTCTAGACTGCAGCCAACAAAATTTCGTGCAGGAAATCATTAGAGTGAATACAGCGGCGCGTTGCATTCTGCATTTTGAGAATGTGAACTCCAACGGCGGCCCATACTAGGTAACTCAACCTTCAACCTATAAACATTGCAGTGAAAAGCATTGCAGCGAAATCGACTGTGTTATTGATGGCTTAGGGGATTTTTCGGCTAAATTCTTTGGGTATAGCTCAACAAGCAAGGGATTTGCTTAACTTCATATACCAAATAGCCCCACGCTTTCTCTGGGAACTGATGCTTTAAGCCACTTTAAAAGAAAGTGGATGACGCAAGAATATACAGCTCGCCTGCGAGATTTAAAACAACTACTCACACGGAACAAAAAAGGCTGCTGAAGACGGCATCTATTGCGCTGAGTTAAATCTCAGTATTCAGGCTTTAGTTTCCACGCTGAGGTCTTCGCGGTGCCAACAGTCCTGAAAACCACATGAGCATCATCGTATATAGAAACTTAAGCAAAAGAATCTCACAGAAAATGAGCTTAGAAACTGGGAGACACTGGATAAGGTGGTGGCATGTAAGCAGCTGCTTATGTATTGGGCTCTAAACTATTAAGGTATTGTGGTAAAATAAATAGCCACTTGATGAGAGAGACATTGTTTCCATTCTGACCTGTTTAGTACTCTTTAGCATTCTTTCTGCTTTGCAATTAAAATGACTAGAAAAAGTTTCAAGGCACCTAGAACAATTACATAAAGTATTGGCGCCCACGCGATGACTAAATTAAAACGAAACTCCATCTGGCGCCGCAAAGAGCAAATAGTTCCATGTAAAGCGTAACAGTCAGACAATGTAACCTAACCTAAAAAAAATTGAAACAAATAATTTCTCATGCATTTAAGTATATAAAAATAGCGGTAATTAACATAAAAAATAGAAAAAGAATTAGAAGAAAAAATGAAAAAAATTGCGTATGAGATTTTTTCACGAATTTTCATCATCATAAATTTCTTCCTTGCAAAAATGAAATTTTCGGCGATTAAAATTTATTAAAAATGTTCTAGCTTTATGAATTACATTACCACATACATGTGCATGTTAAAGCGACTTATGTAAAAATTTTCCTGCTTGCATCTTGTTTGAATGTGTGCGTGAGTTGTAAACTACAAGCAACAACTTACTAATTCTTTCTAATTACTTTACATGTGTAAAGCTTGGAAAAATATGCATTATAACATTTAGCCAACACTTTTGGAGCAGAACAACAACATATATACCGTCTGACATACAAATATCTACATTTCATCTAAAAAATAAATATGCACATGTGAGCCGTTTATTTTGAAAGTGGTTTAAGTTCATTTCTTAAAAAAAAAATAGTTAATGTTAACAATAATCACAAGCATACATAATCTTTTTTTTATAAACAACAACGGACTTAAAAATTAGCTGGTTAATGAAATGCAAAAAAAAAATTAATTTGAAACTGATTTAAGTCCATCGAAAAAAATTATTTTGATATGGAATTTATGATTGCCGCCAAAAGTACGGCACTTTTTGTTGGTTTTTATGCTGTCGCTGAACTGCTGCTGTGCGGTGGCGTTCATAGCGATGACCCGTTTACTTTTACTTTTTGGGCAACAATAATAAACTTGCATGCACATTTTCATAATTTTACAATAATGAAGTTTACATGTATGCCTGGGATGAAACTGTGACATCGAGAGGCTCTCAAGAAGTGGTATCTTGTAAATTAAAATACCTCAAAAATCTTAGGAATCAGAATCGGTATGTGCACTGGGCAGTTCAGGAATATAAAAATGGCAGTAAGGGGATTGAAAATTGTGCAGTCGACAGCAAATAATGCAATTATTATTGACCATAAGTTTTTACTATCAGGACATTCATTTTGGCCATCTTATAAGGATTTTTGAGTGGTAGAAATCGCTTTGAGGAAAAATAATGTAATGTATGTACCTTAGGATGACTTTGAAACCATAAAAACATGTCGAAAGAATAACAAATTTATATTAACTAACATGAAACGAGAACATTTTTTTCTACAAAAGCTTTGAAAAAATAAATTCACAAAAGATTAAAAAACACTAGTGGCGAACTTGTGAACTGGCTAAGGATATGTTGGTTGCGATTTAAAAAAAGTGAACCCTATAAAATGTTTTAATATTTGATATTAATATTATTTTTAAATACATATTTTTCCAATTACAGAATTAAAAATATGTACAGGGTGCTCCATTTTTTATGTCGGTATGTAAATGCTGAATAACTTTCACATTTACCAACCGAGCGATTGCAACAGATATGTTTTGGAAACGCCAATTCAGTAAAATTTTTGCCTTGATCGCTTCACACCGAAACAACACACTAAGAGAGTGTCACTTTATATCGAAATCAGTCGTTCAGCAAACTTTCGTGCTGAAATCGACGCTATAACACACGAGATGCTCAGAAGGGTAATGGCAAACGCGGGAAAAAGGTGTCATTTTGTAATTGCTAATAAAGGTAGCCATTCGATTGAAATTGTCTTCAAAAACTAGTCTAAAAAATTTTCAAAAACCAAATTGAATAAAAAATACTTCAGAAATCGGTGTTTTTTTCATTCAATGTTTACATACCGATGAAGCACCCTGTATGTTAATAAATTGAAAGCTTTCCCACACCTTTTTTAAAGCATTTACATTCATTTACATCAAAAATAAAATATTTACGATTTCTATTTTTTTAAATTCTTTTAAGTTCTTTAAAAAAAAATAATTTCACTAGGTATAAAATTCTTTCGTATAATTTGTTCAATATTATTGTGAAAGTGGGGTATTTTGTTTACTAATCAACCCCTTGTAATAATTATGGTGGCATTATGTAAACGCCGTGGAGTAAAAAATTTACTTATAAAAACAAATAAATAAAATCAAAGAACACAAAGTGAACTTATTCCTTTTCACAAACAGAAAAAGTAATGTTTATTAATTTTGAAAGTAGTTTAAGTCCATTTTTGGCTGTG